AGTACAAACTCCCCTCACAGTTCATTCCTTTTCCAGGCTGGGGCAGCTCCCAGTACCTGAGCTGGGCATGCTGATAACATCTGTATCTGCATGAGGACTGCAAATTCAGCTTTAATCTGGAAAAATGATTGTCTACAGGCAGTTGTGGTGTTATGCACCGAGTTCTGCTCAGGTCTCTTTGGTATTTCTTTTATTTATTTTAAATTTATCTTTATTTATTTTATTTTTATTATTCTTTTATTTCTCGCTTGTAAGTCCCACTAAAACCTTTCAAAAATGTCTTCGCATTCAGTGCTGTCATTTATTTGCTATTTCCTAGATTTCAGTTCACTGGGATGGGTGACAGCTAACTCTTGGAAGCTGTGGATAACCCAGGATTGGAGATTCTCTCCAGGTGCTGTTGTGTATAAAATTCATGTTTAAGAAACTCAAGGTACCATTACCCATTAGCAGAAGGGTGAGTCCCTAAAGCACAGTGGGAATGGATGAATTAACTCAAGGAAACCCCAATTTGTGCCACTTTTTCCAGGGGATCAGCAGCAGAAATCTCCTGTTTGGAATATTCTCACCCACTCCTGTCCAAAGGAGGGGATGGAAGATAAAATACAGGTAACAAAATACAGGTCTCAGATTGACAACGGAAGGGCAACATCAATAGATGGAAAAGTGATTTTTTGCAGATCTCCTCAGCCCAAACTCAGCATCTCACCCATTGTGAGGCAATAAATTGGATGGAGAGATACCTCCCATGATAGGGGTTAAGCCTCTCTAAACAGGAGCCAAACAATCAGGTGTTGCTTTACTTAAAATTATCTGCAACAAAGAAATATTTCTTTTCCCCTTACAGAAAACTGATTAGGCACAAATCAGCCTATTTCTGATTGAAGTCAGCCTCTAATAAAACAGCTAAATGTGTTGGTCTTGTTCACAAATGGCTTTGTGATTTTAGGCTTTTGATCCAAAATATTGTCAGATTGTTATCACTGCTGAAATTCTGATTGTATTTCTTTGCTTTTGTGTAGCTATTTCCCACAAAGAGTCCAGCTTTATGAAATCTTTATTGAAGGCTTGTGCAGATCTTGCTTATAGCAAATCTAAATTGAAGGTTTTAAATCTGGAGAGGATTGTTGTTCCCCCCTAGTTATATGGTCACAGGATTTTCTATTGCAGGAACAACACAGAAATTCAAAGTTACAATAAGGGGAATGAAATGAGCCAAGCCCCAGTTTTAAATTTCCAATGCTACATCACATGAGCTGACATTAATTTTGGCAGCCTGGCAGAATCCTGTGGACATGTGGATTTTTCTCAGAGGTTGTTTTCCCAAGTTACTCTAGGTATGAATGGCTTCTCTTGATTAATTTTAGTTTATAAATCTAAATAAATGCAGCCTTGGAACATTTGGTACTTCACAGCACCATTCTCTGGTGAGCAGAAACATCTGATTTCCACCCCCACCCCTGCACTTTCTGCACAGAGTTGTAAAGGGCTCCTTGGGAGTGTGGAGATAAACCTGAATAAAGCAGAACTTGAATTGCTTTTTGGGGCACATCATTTTAATGGCCAGGGTGTCCCAACAGGCTGAGAGGAGCAGGCAGGAATTCCTGATGAGGAGCACCAGAGGCACAGCGAGAGCATGAGCTGACACCAGGGAATTTCCCTCATTGCAACAGCAAAAGCTCCATCAGAATTTAAATAAAAAGAGTTCTCAACCTGCTCTAAAATTTGTCATTTTTTGTTGCAGACACTGGGAAGTGCTCACAAGGATTAGCAGCCAGCAATTACTTCCATAAACACTTCAGCTGGGAGGAGACTGGGTGGGAATTGGTGCAGGAATACAGCAGTGGATAAAACACTTGGCAGCAGGAATGAATCATTTAAAATACTGAACAAATCAGCAAATAAACACCTTCAGCATCTGCCTGCACGCTGTCTCTTGCAGCAGGCCCTTCAATCTGGCATCATCAATCTGTTTGGTGAAGGTTGGTCTCTCCTCTATATTGAATCATCAAATGTTTACTGTCCCTCAGCTTCCCTCTGTTTTTAGAATTACTCTCAGGAATAAAATGAGAATTCATTGTCAGCTTTGATGTTTAAGGGTATCCTGTTGAGTTTGCTAGGCCTGGCTGGGAGACAGGAAAACAGGGTCTGTTTTGATCCCTGCTGAAAACAAGATGAAGGAGAAGGTAAAAATAAATCAACAAAAAAAGCCCTCCAAGTTGAGTTTAGTTTGTGCAAAGTCAGCTTGGGGAAAATGGATCTATTCCATCCTCAATTAATGAATAACAGCTGCATTAAAAACAAAAAAAACACAAATGTACAACCCAAAATCAAACCTTTCTCTGGTACTATCTGCGGTAAGGATGCTTTAAAAAATATATATATATAAGAATTTTACATTTTTTTCGGTTTTCCCACTGGCAGATCTCCTTTCCCAAGATAGGTTTGACTAGAACTCTACATGCTGGCATCAAGAAGAAAAGAGAGAGGCTCACCCTGCACCTGTTAGGTGCAAGGATTGATGTGACAGAGAGCTGACAGGGTGAGGCCCCAGCACCCACTCCTGTGACAGGCACCACTGAAATGCAAAATCCTGCAAACTTTAACCACAGCAGAAGCTCCGGTGGGTAATGTACAAGCAGGGTACAAAGTCAGCTCAAGTTAATTCAAAACCTGTATTTCCATTGTCTTCCAGGAGCACTGCTAACAGGTGGCCAGGCAGTGGGAAAAACCCCTGGAGATGGAGGGTGAGAGGGAGAGAATTCACATGGAACAAGATCTGACTGTCCCTGGGACATTTCCAGCAGAGAATCCTGGATTTAGGAGCTGTGAGTTCCAAAGTGCATCCCCTGGAGCTGCAGAGCAAAGCTGATCATAACTGCAGCAGAGTGTGGAGCTGAGGAAGTTCTGAAGCAAGAACCTGGCTTGGGTGCTGCCATTTGCCAAGGAGAAGCTGCAGAGATGAAGAAAGAAGAGGTATTTAATCTGGCTTTGGAAGCTTAGGGTGAAAATGACTGACCTACAAAAAAATTTAAAAAGGAGAGGGTTAGATGGGGAAAAAATAAATTTCAAATATTTGATTCAACCTGAAACAAAACCATTTGTAATAATTTTTTCTCTCTTCTTGCCTCTTTTACAGCTTGGATTTTAAGTCAAGCCCCAGCCAGCAATGCCCACATGGGCTCCTTGCTTCTGCATTTCCCTGCTGCCACTCGAAAGCGCCCACATTGTTTCCACACTTCCCAAATGTTCCCCCTCCGTTTATTTTTTCATCCCGTCTGTCCCCCGGCTCTCCCCGCCGCCCTTTCCAGCTGAAGTTTGTGTCATCTGTTCCCGCCGGGCTCCTTTTTTAACTTGTGGGGTCTGTGCCAGCCCCCGAGCGAGGCAGGTGCGGGGCTGGGTCTGTCTGTGGTGCCATCCCTGCCCGAGGGATGCGGGGCAAGGATGGCATTGCCGGGGATGGGA